GCTCACTCAGTCTTCTCTGGCTGAGTCCCTTGGTCTTGCTCTTAATCTTACTTTTGTCTCTTGCTCTTATTCAATCTGCGTCACCCCTTAAGAGAAACCTGTTTGCCCTTGCCACGCTGGACGTGACATGACATGACACATTTTAGACACACAAAACTGTCCTAATGATAACTTTCATTGAGGACTTATGAGGGTCAGTCACTTTACCCGCTATGCCTTATTTAATTCTTAAGTATGTGAAGTAGGTCCTGTCACCCATTTTAAAGATAAGAAAATTAAAGCCTAGAGATGTTAGATATCTCCGCCAAAGTGACACAGCTACTCAATGGTGGAGGTAACAGCTGATCAGAGGAAGTCTGAACCTAAAGCCCAAGCTCATACAGACCATCTGCACTATGTTAAAAAGCAAACATTTAAGACAATGACTACAATTGCCTTCTGAGAGAAAGACACAGAATCTTTGCATAAAGTTGTCACCCTCTGTAATACTCTGCTCTCCTTCTCACGTATTTTGTCATTATTTGTTGCCATCACCTGTAATGTGGGTTTTCGTTATTGTCCCAGGTCTGCATCCTGTCCTTGCGGATCAAGGGCAACATGTCCACAACTAATGCCTGGAATGGCTCATCAGTGACCATGTTCATCCTTCTGGGATTTGCAGACCATCCAGAGCTCCAGGCCGTCCTCTTTGTCACTTTCCTAGGTATCTATCTTGTGACCCTGGCCTGGAACCTAGCCCTCATCTTTCTCATCAGAGGTGACACCCGTCTGCACACACCCATGTACTTCTTCCTCAGCAACTTGTCCTTCATTGACATCTGCTACTCTTCCACAGTGGCTCCCAAGATGCTCATTGACTTCTTCCAGAAGCAGAAGACCATATCCTTCTTGGGATGCGCTGCTCAGTTCTTTTTCTTTGTCGGCCTGGGTCTGACTGAGTGCCTCCTCCTGACGGCTATGGCGTATGACCGCTATGCAGCCCTCTCCATGCCCCTGCTGTACACAGCCATCATGTCCCCGGGCCTCTGTACACGCATGGTGGTTGGGGCCTATGTCGGTGGCTTCCTAAGCTCCCTGATCCAGGCCAGCTCTATATTTCAACTCCACTTCTGCGGACCCAACATCATAAACCATTTCTTCTGTGACCTCCCACCAGTCCTGGCGCTTTCTTGCTCTGACACGTTCCTCAGCCAAGTAGTGAATTTCCTGGTGGTGGTCACTGTTGGGGGGACATCACTCTGCATCCTCCTCATCTCCTACAGTTACATCGTAGCTGCCGTCTTGAAGATCCGCTCAGTGGAAGGTCGAAGGAAAGCCTTCAGCACATGTGCCTCGCACCTGATGGTGGTGACTCTGTTGTTTGGGACGGCCCTTTTCATGTATCTGCGACCCAGCTCCAGCTACTCATTCGGCAAGGACAAGGTGGTGTCTGTGTTCTATTCGCTGGTGATCCCCATGCTGAACCCTCTCATCTACAGTTTGAGGAACAAAGAGATCAAAAATGCCCTGTGGAAGGTGTTGGGGAAGAAGAAAATGTTTCTCTAGTTCATGGTTGAAAAACATATTTCTCCAAACTGCCTGAGATGTAAATGACCCATAGTATCTACCTCCACTTCTGGCTTACGCAAAGGGGTCATTTTGTGGATGTATTTGAAAATGCAGATTCCTCCTGCCTGAGTCCTCTCATCATTCCTCATGGTCATGTGTCTACTGACACCACCATGGACAGCCAATGACGCCACCATGGATAGTCAGAATGGGGAAGAGATTGTTTCAGCAAGAAATTCTCCCCAGGATAGCCTATTCTCACAATTGATATTACAACAACCATCTTTTGTTGGATGCTTAATATGTACCAGGCACAAAAACTACTGATTTAATACTCATTGCAGTGCTATGAGGCACATAGTACTTTTCCCTATGTTACAAATGAGGAAACAAGGTCCCTGCAAGGAACACTGACTTGCCAAGGTCATACAGGAAGTAAGGACCAGAACTCCCATTCAGACCCAGGTCTTCCTGACCCCAGAGCCCACGCTCTGCCCAAATGCTGCCTTCTGCATTCAACAACAAACAGCCCTGAAGATGTACAAGTGCATAACTCATAACTCGCATCCGGCAGAATCCAAAAAGTACACTAGCTGAGATGAATTACAAAACCAGATGCCTACTCTACTCAACACTCTCTCTATGATATCCTATTAGATTCCCATGATGGCTATTGAATAATTTGCTAAGAAAACACTGAAGGACATTCCCTTCATGGACATTTCTTTTTTTTTTAAGATTTTATTGGGGAATTGGGGGGAGAGAACAGCATTGGGGAATCAAGGAAGGAGAACAGACAAGTTGCTGTCCTTTTGTTCTTCAGTCTAGTTGTGGAAGACATCGCTTCATTGGCCCATGTTGGTGTTATCATTGCACTCTTCCTGGCTGAGGCAGATCGGTTGCTGGCCATTGGACGGCCGCTCACGGCGGCTCACAGCAGCCCACTGCAGACCCACTGCAGCCTACGCCGTCACCAACAACTCACAGCTGCCCAGCTCCAGGTCGAGCTGTTGGTCACCATCTTTGCTGTAGAGGGCACAGCGTCATTGGCCCATGTGGGAACCAAACTGGTGGCCCTGCTGCTCAGAGCTTGCACTCCCAAGCCAACTCTTAACCAACACGCCACTCAGTTGGCCCCCATAGACATTTCTATCTAAGCTACATGGGGACCTAGAAACTTTGAGTCTAATGGTATCACATCAATACTCTTCTTGTCCCAATCCTGTCACCTCAACTGCCTACTCATCATTATTTCCTTGATTTCAACCATGTCATTCCTTTACCTGTTTAACACCTGACACTATCTCACAGCCAAGACACCTATCAAACCAAAACTGGCAACCCAAGGAGTGAAGCTCAAACTTAGCCGCAAGTTTTAAGACATTTGAAACTGATAAGAGCCAATTAAAGGAAGTAACATGTAAAACATTCTGGGTCTTGCACAACAATAAAATCTTACCTGTTTTATTGGTTTTAGTATCATCTAATTGAAGGATCGATTCCCAAGATGCCTCCCACCATTACTCCACAATATACATAAAGGAATTAAGGTTTTTATGGATCATTGCACCAGACGCCTCACGGTTACTGTTTGATGTAATCAGCACAATCACCTGCAAGGTGGATATTTGTCAGATGCTCAAGGTTCTTCTAATCCCAGATCCAAAACTCGCCGACTCTGACAATTTTGGAGGTCACGTATGCTGTCCCATCCTTATTTTCTAAATCTACCAAGGAAATACTACTAATTTAAAATTGATTCATATTTAATTTTCATATCTATTTTGCAAAATAGATATGGGAATTAAATATATACACATACCTAATTTCTGTAATTTGTGTCTCAAGGAAAAAAATCCCCTCTTCTAAATTCAGGTAATCTCTACACCTTTCTCAATAACAGTTCAAGGATTTCAATTACGTCAAAGATCCCTGATGATAAATCATTCCGATTTGTTTCTAAAGTAACATTCAGAGTAGCACATCCCTACTCCTTTTCTTCTAGTGTCGACTCAGCTAATAAAAAATATAACTTATGGTACTAAGAAATCTTACCCTTAAACTTTAAATGTTCTCTCTCAAGGCTACTCTCTAAACTAGATTTTTAAGGACAAAATAAAAGAATGACTAAAAAGAGCCCCTTGGACCCAGCCGAGTGGGCTCAGTTGGTTAAGATCTCACTCAAGAGTGTGAGTGCTGAGCAACAGGGTTGCCGGTTTGATTCCCGGCCTGAGCTGAGCTGCTGCTGAGCTGCCAACAGGTGGCAGGATGGCTCAGCTAAAAAAAACAAAAAACAAAAAAACCTCTTGATGGACTTTTCAATCTCAAGAAAACTGAATCCCCAACATCACCTCTAAAACTCCCTACCTATGAACTTGCATATCTTTCATAGAGGACTCATTTTTTCTGTATTTAGCATATGACAACATGGAGTCCCATGACATAAAATCCAACCATACCAAGGGGCTATTGTTATATCAATACCCCTTTAAATGAGCCTTCACTGTGTGCCTAGAACTGTATTGTATAAACTTTATCTACATCCTCTGAACCAGGAGTCTCAACAGCTCTACGAGATGGGCAATATCATCCCCATTGAACAAAGGACACAAAAATAACCTGTTGGCATAATTGTAGCCCAAAGTCACACAACTAATAAAGGGCAGTTAGAACTAGAAATAAGTACTATTTTTAGTCTCCAAAGCCCACCCAACATTAAACCACTACACTCTCTTACCATCCCTTTCTGCCAACACAGAGGGTCAAAACAAGACTCGGCTTCCACCCAAATCTTCCTTCCCTCTCTCCTTCAAGGGACCAGGCTTGCGTTGTGGTCTTACATCCCTCCCAGCCTTCCCTGGCTCCTTCCACATTTCCTTTCACAGGAATTTCTTTTACTAAAACCCTTGCATGTTCCATCCTGTATGAGTGTCTGCTTCTCGGAAGACTTGGACTAACACAACTGCATTATTTATAAAAGCTATGTTATGCAATGGAATAGCATATAGCGATAAGTATAAATAAATCATGCTACCATCAACAACATGGATTGACCCAACAAGCATATTGTTAAGCAAATGGTGCCAGACACAAAATAATACCTATACTATGACCTAATGCATGTAAGGTTCAAAAAAAGAGAAAATTAACTGTATTATTTATGGATGCATAAGTTGTGAAAATAATAAAAACAAACAAGTGATTAATATCAAAGTCAGGATTGTGATTGGCTGCACTTGGGGGAAGGTGGTAAGAGTGTACCACTGCAGTGCTTTTGAAGTGTAATGAATGTTTCACTTGTTGATCTACGTAATGGTTACACCAGGTTTGTTCTATCATGATGCCTTACTTTACTGAAAGTGAGCCATAGTTTACAATAAAAAGGTATTTTTAAGCTACCTGATCATGAAAATAGTTTAAATACACCAATTAAAAGGGAGAGGCTGCAAAGTGGATTTTTTTTAAGACCCAACTATAGGTTTAGAAAACATAATTCTTGTAGAACAAAAACCCACTTTAAATATAAAGATGCAGAAAGATTAAAAGTCATGCAATGGAGAAAGATAAACCAAAAGAAAGCTGGAGTAGCTATGCTAATTTGAGACCAAACAGACTTCAGGACAAAGAGCATTATCAGAGTATAAAGAGAGGGTCTTTATAATGATACTGATAAAAGGCTCACTTCTCTGAGAATACATAACAAGCCTTTATGTGTATGCACTTAACAAGAGTCTCAAAATAAGCAAGGCAGAAACTGATGGAAAAACCAGAAGAAATAGACAAATCCACTATTATAGTTGGAGACTGACACCCCTCGATCAGTAATTGACAGATCCAATAGGCAGGAAGTCAGTAAGGATGCAGTTGGATTGAATAGCAACATGAATCGGCCACTTGATGTTTATAAATTATTTTATCTATCAACAGAATTCACATTTTTCTCCAGCTCACAGAGAACAGATAGAGCACATTCTAGGCCATAAAACACACCTTCACAAATTATACAAAGTATGCTCTCAGACCAAAGTGGAATTAAACTAGAAAGCAATAACAGAAAGATAGATGGGAAAATCCCACTATTTACACAGGTTGCTTAGCAACCTTTTTAATAACTCCCATCGCATCTGCAACTGCCATCATCTTCTTTGAAAGTTACATGTCCTACAAATATCTGACAATATTCCCTATGCAGATTATTATATTATTAGACTTCCATTTTGGTGTCTAAGGAAGCATTGTGGACTGTGCATGTACTTAGGTGAAGAAAAGCAGAGCCATGAAGATGCGGAACCAAGCAGGCTCACCTTTCTAACCCGAAGGTAGGTGAGAGCATCCTGAAGACACAATTGCAGGCAAATTTAGCTTAGCACACATACGAGTATAATTGTATAATCTCTATAACATTCAGTCTTCAGTCCCTGAAAGGTAAATTATCCATGTGCAATTCTTTTTTTTTTTCCATGTGCAATTTTTGATACATATGTCATTCAGAACTAAAAGCCTTAGGCTGATTAAAATCTCCTGCCTCTCATGTAAAATATTAGGTGTCTCAAAACATATTCAAGTTAGAAGGTGATTTTTTTTTCTTGGTAATAAAACTCATTCCATAAACTTTTAGAGAGCGTCTACGATTCACAGGAAAATAACTGGCACAGTCCCTTTCTTTAAAAAAAGTCATGAAATGCTAGCTGGGAGCAGGGAGAGAAACACAATTATATAAATGACATTAGCATTATGATGATATTAATACTTACATTTTTATAATGCTTTGAAGTCTCATATGAATTGATTTATGCAGCAATAAAAGCTAAAAAGGGGGCTAAGGGGGGAAGTTTAGAATGAAGCTGGAGATGGAGTGAAGGAGAACAAGTATTTGTTGGGTAAAATACTACGTGTCAAGCACTGGTCATCCATCGCTCATTCATCTCTTCAGAAAGAATTACTGAATAACTGATATGTGCCCAGTAAAAGCTGTGGATACAGTGCTGACAAATCAATGCCCCTGCCCTTCAAGGAGCCCGCATGTGGAAGAACAAGCAAAAACAAACAGACACATAATGACAGGCA